CCTTGCGTGCATATTTACCTTTGGAATTCTCTTTTGTTTTTCAATTTTTTTTTTTTTTAAAAGATTTTACTTTGATACTTTTTTTTTTTTTGTTAGAATTTTCAAATTATTTATTTTGAACGATTGTTTAAAATATATAAATATAAAATATATTGTCTATAATGTATCAGACATTAGTTTTTTTTTTTTTTTGCAAAATTAATGAACATAAAAGTCAATATTATTGATCTTTCATAATCGAATTGTGAATCAAATGGTGTTACCATCACTGAAATTAAAACCGAATTCATTTATACAAATTAATATAATGAATTTTTAAAAATATAATATAAAAAATGGCAATTCTGTTACTAATTTATAAATATTTTGCATACGAGTTTAAAAAAAAAAACAAAAATTTCAATTATAATTTATTTATTTTTTCGTATATTGTTAAATAATGCCAAAGCTACAAATATTATAATTTTTTACAATGTTTTTTTTTTTTTTTAATATTACTTAATTATTATTTGCCAGAAATTTGTACACGACATTTATAATTTAAAAATAATAAATTCAAAATTAAAAAAAAAAAAAAAAAATTTATTATAGTAAATTATATGTTTATCTATTGACGGACGTTATTTTAAAATTTAAAAACTTGATTTATATTATATAATTTTTTTTAATTAATAAAAACAAAAAAAAAAAAAAGTATATTTTTTGTAAAATTTATTTAAATTTATTTTACTTTTACTAAAAATCAGATAATAAAGAAATGAACGAGTTTTTTTTTTTTTTTTTTTTTGCATATATATTTATTATTTCATATTAAAAATTTATTTTTAACGTTTATAATTTTTTTTTTTTGAATTCGAAATTAAAAAGAAAAAAAAAGAAAAAAAAAAGGAATATTATTATTATTATTTTTTTTTTATAGAGAAAAATCAAAGGAGAGGAACTATTATCAGAAATATGTAAACATCTAAATTTAGCCGAAAAAGATTATTTTGGTCTTATATATGAAGATCGATACGAACGAAAAAATTGGCTCGAATTAGATAAAAGAATTTCTAAGTTTGTTAAAAGTAAGTTTTTAATAGGTATTTCACTAAAAAACTAAAACTTGTAAAAATAAGCGTAACATATAAATTGTTTTAACTAATATCGAATTTTAAAAAAAAGCTAAAATTTCAGCATATTTTCAAATGTAAATAATTAAAATCCAATTATTTATTTTTCTTACTCAAAAAAAAAAAAAAAAAAATTGTTTACATTATGTATTATAAATAGATTTGTTTTTTAATTTTGGGAAAATAATAATAATAATTTTTTTGAATTTTTAAAATCTTTAACAGAAACCTGAATTGAAATTGTAAAATTCAAATCAATTTTTATATTATATTTTTCTTCATTTTTATTTCAATGTTTAAATGAAATGCCATTTTTTTTACATTT